ACTAGTATCATACTATTTTTTTTGCTATGGCTCTGTAGTATAGTTTGAAGTCAGGTATTGTGATACCTCCAGCGTTGTTCTTTTTGGTCAGTATTGCCTTGGCTATTCAGGGTCCTTTGTGCTTCCATATGAATTTTAGGATTGATTTTTCTCTTTCTGTGAAGAATGACATTGGGATGGGGATTGCATTGAATCTGTAGATTGCTTTTGATAGTATAGCCATTTTCACAGTATGAATTCTGCTGATCCATGAGCATGGGAGGGCTTTCAGTCTCCTAGTGTCTTCAATTCCTTTCTGCAGTGTTTTATAATCTTCACTGTAGAGGTCTTTCACCCTTAGATTTATTTCTAGGTTTTTAATGTTGTGAGCTTATTGTGAATGGGATCATTTTCTTTCTTAGCCTGTTCACTATTGGTACATAGAAAAGCATCTGATTTTTGTGTGTTGGATTTTGTATCCTGCTATTTTGCTGAAAGTGTTTATCAGATCTGAATCTTTAGTGTCTTTCAATATGACTTTTATGTGATGGGCAAGCCTTCAGAAATGAAGACCCAAAGAAACAGGGCAAACGTGTATTTTTATGGACAGTTATGCAGAAATATGACTGAACAAAGTGGAGCGTTGTTACCAGAGGAGGGATGGGGAGGTTGTCTCGTCATCTGTCAGTCCGGTGTGATCTAATCTTAGTAAACTGGGGAAATTTTACGAAGGCCTTTTTCTTCAGATTCTTCCCTGAGAGACATTCCTTTCTTCTGGCTCTCCAGAGGGACTTCCCAGACCCTTCTGGAGTGAGAGTTTTATGGCCTGCTTCTGGAGGTGAGCTTGATTTTATTTCATCCACATCAGGGAGAAGGGGCAGAGGAGCTGAGTGCTAACTTCCAGCTGCTGCTGTTTGCACAAATAACAAGTTATCATATTTGGGGGTAGATATCCTGAACCAACCACTTTACAACTTCAGAAGCATTTGAATATGTGCTTGCCCAGGTAATCCTGGTAGTCTTTAGGATTACGGGAAACTGTGATTTGTCACAACATATAAGAAGGAGAGCAGAGGCTGGAAACCAGGGCTACAGGTTTTTGTTCATTGTTTGTGTTCTTTGACTTAAAGGAAATACTGCCTCTGGTTTGAAGTAAAAAATCCGTTGAATTAGTTTTCAGCGTAAGAAAATCTGGATTTTTGTATTGGATTTATTTAAAACAGGATGCACCTCTATGTGTAGAATGTTTGCTTGCTTTCTGGTTTCTAATTTTAGCAAAGGACATGGCTGTCATTACGTTTTGTTCTCTGATTGAACAGAGAATAGTGACTCGCCATAAAGAGATTTGTTTCCATCCTAATAGTTACCTTTTTAAAGAATCCAACCCTTCCTAAAATTTCTCTAAAATCTTAGAAGACAGGTGTTAGTTCACGTTTAATCTACCATACTGATCTTGAACACGACTGCCTAAGCAAACTAACCTGCGTTATTTATTGTTTGAGATTGGCCTTTTAATAAAGGGTCCATCCACGTGCCAGCACGCAGGCTAACTACTAGGAATTACATGTTTTCTAGTACGTGAATTCCACATGTAGTCCAGGGCCGAAAAACCCGATCATGGGAGGGGGTGTAACTACAGTACACAGCGCTTGCTAAAGCCTCTGAGTTCAATCCTCGATACCACAAAGAAAAAAAAAGTTGAAAAAGTCTAATTGTATTTTTTTTTTCTCTCTGTTACTACCTTGTAGTTGTTTTGGGAACCATTAAACCAAATCTCAGTTCTTTCCTCTGAAAACTGAAGAAGGTAGCTTCCTTAAAAAGCATTAAAGGATATCTTCAGAGTATTTGGAGTGGCTCAGGGGAAGGTGCTAGAAGAAAGAAAGATAGAATGATTGGTTTTGGTTCTCAGAGCAAAACTGTGATAGTAATACCCCAGGGTTTGGGAAATGACAATTTCAGAGCAGGCACCATGCAGTCAAAATAGCAAGAATGGTGGAAGGGAGGACCCCAGAGCCCACGCCTGATTGCTCTTTGCAGTTCGAGGCATGTCATCCAGGTTTCCCTGTTTATGAACGGGGATGGTAATACTTGTCTCTGCACCGCAGAATATTGTAAAGAGACATCAAGGAATCTTAAAAGTTACATTGAAATGTAAGGAATTCATGTCAGGCGCTTTAAAATGTGAAGGTTTAATGAAAGCTAAACACTTTCCTTCGAGAAACCGGAGTCTGCAGCTAACTATTGCTAGGATGCACTGTAAATCCTTCAGGTGAGGCGTGGTAGTTCTCTCCCACATACAGCTCCCCAGAGGCTGAGGCAGGAAGATGGGCTGAACCTAGACGTTCAGGACTAGCTTTGAACACACAGGGAGAGCCTGCCTCAAAAAAAAGCTTTTGCAGGAATCTCATCTTAAAGATGGAAGGATCCCCTTTTTACTCCTTTTATTCCTTTTAACTGTTCCTGAATAGCTACTAGCTCTTGGAAGTTGGGTGAGGGTAACAGTGTGGGTGATGAGGGACTGGAGGGGCCCTGTTTGCAGAAAAATTTCTTGCATTACTAAAATTGCACTCTTTCATTTGCCATTTTATTGTACACTAAAAGGAATTAATGGACCCAGCTATCTTCCCTACAGGACTGCTAGTATTTTCTCATAGATTGCCCTGACTCTCATGTATTCAGTTTTCAGATTATCTAAAATTCTGAACCCTAAATTACTTTTTTTGTTGTTGCTTTGTTTTGAGACAAGGTCTTGCAATGCAGCCCAGAATGGTCTGGAGCTCACTGTGTACCCCATGCTGGCCTTGAATTTGGAATCTTCCTGCCTCTGCCCCCTGAGTGCTGGGATTACAGGTGTGTACCACCATGCCTGGTTCCAGCACTGGGATTTGAACTCAGGGCCTCACACTTGCTAGGCAGGCGCTACCACTTGAGCCACTCCACCAGCATGTTTTTTAAAAGACGATAAATTTGGTTTCTTACATATCAGCTGACTGACTAATAATTTTTTGCCTGGTCACACACAGCCTCTGTAAGCTTCTCCTTTCTTGGAGGTGGAGTGAGTGTAAACTGTCTCCTTTTCCTAGACCCTTGGGGTTTAGAGACTTTATGCTCCCTGTACCTGTCCTGGTAGCCTCTTTCCCAGGCCAGCAAGGCCCTTGCCCCCCTTTTCCCTAGTAGCCTGCAGTGTGGACTTGGTGGCGGAGAGGGTAGGAAACAGTGGTATAGAGTTGAAGACAGGGTTTGTGTAGCTCAGGCAGGAGCCAGGCACTGGGAGTTGAGTCCTTAGGCCTCTCCTAATTTGCAGATTCTTTTCCCTCGTCCGAGGTCCAGGTCACAAGGGGGTTCTTAGAGAAACCAGTCCCCTAAAAACAGGAAACACCTGGCTTACCTCAACTTCCCTGATTTTAGGGGAGGCAGCAGCTACCTCCTGTCAGGAAGGGAGGCCTGAAAATTGTTTGCCAGCCATAATGTTCTCCCTAAAATAAGGGGACACGTGGACAGACATAATTGGGAATGGATTTAGACTTCTTAGCTTTCAGGCTCCAGCAGTCTTCATCCCTCTCCCCCTCTGAATTACTTGGGAATGTACACTTGAAACAATTTATTTGCAAAGTGTATAGGTATGCGCCAATGGTGCTAGCAAGAGACTACCTGTGTTCTGTTCTCAGCGTATTTCATGAGTCTCTGAAGTCTTAGAAGAATTAAGTGTTCTCCCACACCCCCCTCACATTTCTCAAAGAATGCTATATAACAGAAAAAAGAAATTTTAGTTAAAATTAGAGAGTTGGAAATTCGGTTTTACAGATCTCTGACTATTTTGTGGGGTTTTTTTTTGTTTGTTTGCTTTTGTTTGGTAAATCAGTAACTGATTACAAAAAAAGAAAAAGCTGAGAGAAGGATAAAAAGGCAGAAGAGACACAATCCACCCTCTGCCTCCACATTCCTTAAAGAGGAGTATTTTAAGGTGGATGAGACCTGCATCAGTGGAGAAGCCCTGTGGGTTCCAGCGCTGAGCACAAAGGGTTGCCTCCCAGGCGTGGTTGGCTTAGGAGTTGGCTGGCTTCCACTATGGAAGGGCAGCCAGGTGATTCCTCAGAAGCAGTCATTTATACAACACCTCACCCTGGCCTTCAGTTCATCCTTGCTGTCTTTGACAGCACTGACCCACCTTGTTATTTATACAAGCTGTCTTATCTGGTAGTGTTGAGTCACCATCGTACCTATTGCCTACACCTTATTTCAAATAGGTCCTGAGCTCCGCCCTGGGAACAGAGCTCCCTAACTTGAGCAGCTGAACTTTGTAGAACAGACCACCTAAAGTAACCAGGGATTGTCAAAATTCTTCTCAGCACCCCGCCCCCTGCTTTTTTTTTTTTTTTTTTTTGGCTTTTTTTGCTTTATTTTGTTACTTGTTTTTGAAACAGGGTCTCACTATGTAACCAGGTTGGCCTCAAACTTTAGATCCTCCTGTCTCAGCCACTGGCTTCTGGGATTATAGGTATTCACCCTTCCACGCCCTTTTCCTTTTTTTTGTTTTTTGTTTTTTGCTTTAAATCAGACTCTCACTTTGAAAAACTCACAGAGTGTTTTGGTAAGGTTTGATCATTTGCCACTTCCAAGGATTTTATTAAACCAGCATTTAAAAACACTAATATAAATTTTGTACTTGTAATTGGCTTTAGCTGCTTAATCTTAAAAGTTTTTTTTTTTTTTTTTTAATTTTGTGGGATTGGAGTTTGAACTCAAGGCTTTGCACTTGGAAAGCAGGAACTATACTGCTTGAGCCACACTCCAGTCCATTTTGCTTTGGTTATTTTGGAAATGGGGTCTCCTGAACTATTTGCCTGGGCTGGCCTCAAACCTTGATCCTCCTGACTTTAGCGTCCCAAGTAGCTGGGATTACAGGCATGAACCACTGGATGCCTAGCTAAACCTAGATGTTTTTATATACAGTTGTAGGTCTGCTCGTACTGGTTGGCTCATTTGTATTCTAAATTATTTTAATGTTTGCTTAATTGCAGGAAATCTTCACCGGACCAGCAGTGTTCCTGAGTATGTCTACAACCTACATTTGGTCGAAAATGACTTTGTTGAAGGGCGTTCCCCTGTTACTAAAACCTATGACATGCTAAAGGTAGGATATCAAAGAGCACAACCCCAATTACCAGAAAACATTCCCGAACTTCTTTTCTTTGTTGGTGGATGTCTCTCTCCCCCAAGTGTTATCATTTCCTGGGTGAATTTTAAGAAAATTGGTTTTGTGTTAACACTACTGAGTACCGGGCTGTTTAAGCAGTATTAAATCCTAGTCAAAAAAAATATGACTCAAGTCAACCAGATCTTGGTTTTGAAAAAGACTTTTCCCAAAAAGGGCCCAACTTCACCACACTGGGGGAAATGAACATCATGGGTAAGGCCGCAGGGAAGTTGGAGATTTATGCCCCGTTTCCATTTCCTGTGTCCCGCCCGCAGGCCGGCTCCACTGCCACGTATGGCAGTCGCTGGGGGAGAGGGACGGCGCAGTACAGCTCGCAGAAGTCGGTGGAGGAGAGGTCCTGGAGGCAGCCTCTGCGGAGGCTGGAGATCTCCCCTGACAGCAGCCCCGAGCGGCTCCACTATGCGCCCAGCGACTTCCCTGTGGGCACGCGCGGCCCGGCGGGGCTTGGCGTGTGGCGCCAGGACAGCCGGCGAAGCGCCCCGGCGCCCCGCTATGCGCGCTCCGAGATCGTCGGCGTGGGCCGCGCGGGGGTCGCCGGCCGCCAGCGCCACTACGACACCTACCACCGCCAGTCCCGCTACGGCTCTGTCAGTGACACCGTCTTCGATGGTGTCCCCGCGCACCCCTCTGGGCTCACCTACCCCCGGCCCAGCACCAGCCACAGCCTGGGCAACCTGCTGGAGAAGGAGAACTACCTGAGTTCCGTGGGGCAGGGGAGGCCACTGGCGCCCCTGCAGCCCCACAGGGCTGCCAGGTCCTCCTGGCACCAGAGCTCCTTCCACAGCACCCGCACACTGCTGCGGGAAGCCGGGGACAGCGCGGCACGGAGGATCCCCATGACCATGACCGTGGGCCAGGCGGCAGCCGCGGGAAGCGGAAACGGGACAGTGCTGGTGGACAGGAGCGCTTTCACCGACTCCCAGCTTGGGTGAGTGTCTCCTCCTGAATGTGCCATTCTCCACTCACACGCTCCGTGCCAGCACATTCTGTCCCTGCAGCCCTGACAGCCAGCCCAGCTGCCACTTGTGGGGCTGGAGACAGGCTTCCAGAGATAAGTGATTAAAATAATGAGTTTTCAGGCAGCTGCCTAATTGGCAGGTCAGCCTGTTTGCCTCCCCTCGCATGGCAGCCTTGTGGGGAACAGCCCATCTGTTCCAGTTTGCGTGCTGGCCAGAGGGATCTCGGCCCCTCAACTGCACAGAAACCCGCTCTGAACAAGCAGACTCCCGTGTAGACTAAGAAAGGGAGAGTGGCCAAAGCAGTTTTTGAATCATTCCTGGAAATAAAGGGAGAAAAAGGCTAACGTACTCAATCCTGGTTGAAAGCATGAATCTCAAATGCTGTTTTAATCATTGTGAATGTAAAAAGACTGTGAGAACTACAGAAAGGTGGCTGGTGTCGCCATGGCTGGTTGCCTCCTGGATACTCTGGCCCCTCACTTTTGATTCTAGCACTAGGGATTTGAAGAGTATTTCCTTAACGAAATTAAATAATCAAAATAAGTGAATTTTCAAAGAGCTTCTTTCACTCTTCCTATTTCTTTTATGGCATGATAATGTTCAGTTTTGCAACTTAATTCTTAACCGAGTTTAATGCTCAAGCACAAATTTGGTAAATTGAGGAATTACTAAGAGAAAGGTTCAGAAATAGATGGATGAATGATTAAATCAGTAACTCCTAAAATAAGGATCTAGTATCTTTAGGGTGAACGTTAGATGTATACTTGTTTGATTTTAAAGTTGCTTGATCATCATTATGAAATTCTGTAGTATATGCCCATTGATTGGACAGCCCCTGGGTAACACCTTTCCAAAAGGTGTTGGGGAAACATTTTTGATCAAATTTACTTTGAACTTCTAACATTTCTTGTAGAAAGCAAATCTTTGTCAGTATGAGCATATTTATAAAGAGGAAAAGTAGATATCAGGTAATTATGGGGGAAAAAGCCTAGGCTTGTAAGTGGATAATTCAAAGTTTATTGAATGCCTGCTATAATCTAGGATTTGTGATAGGCATAATTTTATCAAAATACTTAATAGTAAAACTGTCATCCCACATCCTCCAATAACTGGCATTCTTCTCTTGCTCCAACTCTGGGCCCTCATGCTTCTAATACCACCGTGGGATTTTCCAGTCTCATCACCCACTGCAGTGTGACTTCAGGCTCCTGTGTTTCACTGGAAAATTCTTCCACAAATGGAGGAGTTACTGCCCTAGAGCTGCATTCGACTCAGACATGTATTCAGTTTTTGTGTCACTCAACCTGTGCATTGGTACACTGAAGTTCCCCCGTTCCCCCTTCCCTTGGGAACCATCCTCTCCTGGTTTTTCACTAGCTGCTGCTTCTTCTCCCTCTTTTTTTTTTTTTTCTCGTGGTACTGGTGGTTGAACTCAGGGCTTCACACTTGGTAAGGATGCACTTGACCACTTAAGCCGCGCCACCAGCTCTTTTTACTTTGATTATTTTGGAGATGGGGTTCTTGATTTTTGCCCACATTGGCCTAGACTGCTATCCTCCTATTTTATGCTTCCTGCCTGGGATGACAGGCAGGAACTACCAAGCCTAACTTTTTCTGTTGAGATGGGGTCTCACCTACTTTTCTTCTTTTGGGCTGGCCTGGAACGGAGAACCTCCTGACCTCAGCCTCCTGCACATGTAGCTTGGGATGGCAGATACATACACTGTGCCCAGCTATTGGTTGAGATGGGGTCTCACGTTTGCCAGAGCAGGTCTGGAACCAGGATTCCGCAATCTCAGCTTCCCAAATAGCTAGGAATGCAGCAGTGCCTGGCAGCACTGGCTTCTTTACCATTTCACCTTAATCTTGTCAGCATTCTCCTTTTTTTTCAGGCCCAAAGAAATTATTTATTTTCAGTGACCCTCATCTTCCGAGTCTGGTATTCTTCCAAGGAGGCCCTAGTACTACATCTGTGTCATCATGATTCCCTATTTAATCTTCAACTCTTGTCTTGTAACCTCTAGATTTAAATGTATATGTAATAACTTCCTGGACATCCCAAACTCAGCATATCCTAAACTAAATTCATCAGCCCCTCCCTACCTTCTAGTAGTACCCATCTCCTCCTATCATTGCATACCCTGAAGTCATTCTTCCCTCTTCCAGTTACCCATCACCAAGCCATGTTCACCTCCTTAACTTCTCTCCATCTCCACCACACAGGTGTCTCTGTCCCAGGTCTTGCTCAGAACTGTTCTGCTAGACTATCAGAATGATCTTCGATAGTCTGATTGTTTCTCTCCCCAGTTAGTAACCTTTCTGTGATTCCATGAAGTGTCTCTCCCCAGTTAGTAACCTTTCTGTGATTCCATGAAGTGTTCAGGCTTTTTAGCATGGCACCTAGGACCATGGCGTTCTTACCTCTGCGTAGTGTTCCAGTCTCTTCTCTTTCTACTCCCTTTCCGATCACTGTCATTGCCAAACTCAACCACATGGAAACTCCCTTAATGCGAGACACTCTCCTCCCCTTCTCACTCTTCTTCTCCCTCCCCCAGTCTTTTACATATGCCACTGTTTTTATCTGGCTGCTTATAATTCTAGACTTAGCTTGAACACCACCATTTTGCTGACCACTCCCTTCCCAATCTTCTTTCAGTGCCCAGATATCAGTGATGTATGAATGTTCATATCAGAGTAATATATTGTGGCTATTCGTTTTCGTATCTGTTTTCCCTCTAGTCTCGGATCTTCTTGCCATGTCATTCATCTCTATATTTTCAGTACCCTAACACAGAGGCAGGTCCCCGATAGGTACTGCAATAATGTATGGTGAAAGAATGAAGGTAGAAATGAATATAAACTTTACTTTTTTGCCATCTGTGTTTTTTTGTTGCTCAAATTCTAGATGTAGTGACCATACTATTTCACATTATTGTTTTAATGGGCAGGGTAAATTTTATTACAATGTTTTATCATATTTCAAAGAGTAAAAGGAATGCTTGAGGTCAAGAGATTTATTTATTTTTGGCGGTACTAGGGATTAAAACCAGGACCTTATGCGTGCTAGGCAAGAACTCTCCCACTTGATCTCCCCTACCAAGCCCTTTTGTTTTTGAGATAGGGTCTCACTATGAAGCCCAGACTGGCCTTGAACTCAAGATCCACCTGCTTCCTCCACCCCCCCCCCATAGAAATTATAGAAACTGATTCTTTTCTCTGATTTCTAAAGGGAAATTTTGCTTTCTGATCAAGGTTGTGCCTATGCCCATCAGTCAGACTTTCCTCTTTCCCAAGACACCTGTCCTGAAACCTCACATGGTACTCTGCTTTGCCCTGCATTGTCTCTCATTTTAAACTCAGCCCAAACCCTGGTTTTGGATTCTGGTTTTTTTTTTCCCCTAGTGGTACTGGGAATTGAACCCAGGGCCTTTGCACATGCTACCACTTGAGCTATGCCCCCAGCCCTTTTTATTTTTATTTTATTTTTAAGATAGGCTCTTGCTAACTTTGCCCAGGCTGGCATCAAGCTTGCTTTGATCCTCTTGCCTCTGCCTCCTAAGTGGCTGGGATTACAGGAATGCCACCATGCCAGGCCCTGGGCTCTACTTTTTCATGCCTAGCAAACTGCATCTGTAAAGAAGTGTTCTTTCCTATATGTGCTACATTTCTATGGTGTAACTAGACAGAAGTATAAACCTACATAATGACATAAAGTATTAAAACGTGGAGCTATCTTTCCAAAAGAAGAATAAGGCATTGGAGCTATAGAAACAGTCAGCACTTGTTCTAAGTCAGGGTGATGAAGAAGGTTTAAAAATCACCAACTGAAAAATTCTAGATGAAATTTTCTAACAATACAATTAGGAACTGGTAATTCAACAGTGAATCTCAGAACCCTCCAGCATGCCCATAAGCACCACAGAGAGAACTGAACGACATAAATGAAGGGCTCAGGGGTCAGAGTAAAGATGTCGTGAGTACCCAGGTCCACCAGGACTCAGAGAACACAGGTCAGACTGCTCTGGGGATGGGGAGGGACACTAAGGAGAGAGCAGACCTCCAGCAGATCACCAGGCAGGTGTGCAGCCTAGAGCCAGCAGAGCAGAACACACGTCATGCTGACTTTCCTCCACATCTTCTTTCTTTCCTTAAACAGTAGAAAAGGATATACATTTATTTATTATTTATTTCTTTTTATGCAGAGTGGACTTCAGAAGGGATAGGCAGACCCAAAAGCGTTTATACCTTTTTAACACAAGAATGATAACTCATGCAGTTGTGACACGACAAAGGAGCTTTAGCTGGGCACAGTAACCAGGAAATATATGGGAAAAATGAATGGAAGACAAGTGTCATTTCAATAGATTTGTTTGTACTGGCTTGTTTCCACGTAACTACCAGTCTATAGTGATAAGAATGTTCTTCTTTTCCTGGTAAAGGCAGGGCACCTTTCTGTCTGGAAGTTTTATGGTAGAGAGTGGGCTATCAGAGACGCCTTTCTTATCTGCTGTTTTTCAAGGGCCTTTAGCTCAAAATAATCATAGCAGTATATTTTGAGGGGGAAGACACTCCAACACCTAGCAGTGATTTGCTGTTCTTGTTTAGGACACCACACTTTGCCATTTTGAAAACCTGCAGGTATAGTTAACCATTTCCTATTCCTAATTAATAACTTACAAAGACTGATTAACTCTGCCTTCATTTGTGGACTGACTTATGAACCAGTGTTATTTGCTATCCTCATGGTCATTACTCATTCACACTCAGGACAGGCTGCAGACATCATTTAGGGTACTCTTGAGGATTTAAAGCTGCCACATCCTCTGATCTCCAACTGCTTCTTTCTTTTTTTGTGGCTTAACAGGGGTTGGAACTCAGGGCTTTGCTCTTGTAAGGTAGGTGCTCTACTGCATCTTTCTTTCCACTTTAGCTTCCAGTTCAAGGCTTTCTTGCCTCTGTTGAGTCTCTTGCATTGCCCTCAAACTGCCTCTTTGTAGGCAGGTACTGGTGGCTCACGCCTATAATCCTAGCTACTCAGGATGCAGAGATCAGGGGAATCAGGGTGGAAGCCAGCCAAGCAAATAGTTCACGAGACCCTATCTTGAAAATACCTACCAAAAAGAAAGGACTGGCAGAGTGACTCAAGTGGTAAGTACCTGCCTAGCAAGCATGAGACCCTGAGTTCAAACCCCAGTTCCACCAAAAACACCTTGCCTCTTTGTTTCTAGAAACCTATGTTCACTGAAGAGTCATCTTTCCAAGGCAGCCCTGGTGTCACCCCATGGGAGGCAGGGGATGCACGTTTACTGGGCAGTGGACGTTTGCAGGTGCCATCCGTTTGCTTGGCTCTCAAAGGTGGAGCCTAATATCATGTCTGGAGAGCCAGTCCAGGCAGGGCCTGGCTGGCAAGAATGTTAGTTACTAGGGGATTCCACACATGGAAAAAATTTATTTCTATTTTTTTATTTTTTATTTTTTTTTGAGACAGGGTGTCACTGTGTAGCCCAGTTTGGCCTTGAACTCGGAATCCTCCTGCCTCAATCTCTTAAGTGCTGGGATTATAGGCCTGCTCCACCATGCCTAGCTAGATTTTTTTTGTTCCCCTGTAATGTCTTACTCTGACTAATGTTATTTTACATGCTTCCTGTCATGTTTTCATTTCATCATAAGTTCTTTTTTAGTTTTTGTTTTATTTTACTATTATTATATTTTTGTAGTGGTGGGGATTGGACCTAGGACTTCATGTATGCACACTGAGTGCTGCACTACTGAGCTATTCCCCAGCCCCTTTATACTGATACTGTTAACTAAAGTTTTTGAAAGACTCACTTCTACAGCTCCCTCCTAGAGTCCCCTAGTGTCGGGGACATGGGGCCAGGAAACAACTGCTGATCCCTCACCTGCCTCCCCAAACCCATCTTCCAAGCCACATTTCCACAGGCTTCAAGAAGTAATTGGTAAGTTGGTAGGAAGGAACAAAGGAAGGTAGGTAGGAAGAGAGGGAGGGGAAGAGGAAGAGACAGAAAAAGGAATGCAGGGCAAGAATGCTGTGGGAGAATAGGGGAGAAAAGGGATAGCTCTAGCTGGGCCCAGAGGCACAGAAAGATTTTACAGAAGTGTTGGAATTCAGATTGAGTCTTGAAGAATGTATAAGAACGGGATAGAAGGACAAGTTCCCTAGAAAACTCAGAAAGGCGGCAGTGTTTGGAGAAAGATTTCAAGTCCAGTGTGATTGGAGGGCAGGGGAGTGGATCAAAGGAGGGGTGAAACAGGGTAGAGAATTCAGTAGATGGATCCACACGGGGGTCACAATGTTGCCATCTCATGGAATCCAACTTTACAGACAGTAACAGCACAGAAAACTTACTCCCTACATAGCAAACCTAGTTGAGAAAGTCTTCATTTAGTTTAGGAATTGATTTTAGTGATAAAGTGCAGTCAAAGTAGGATTGGGTCAACTGGGAGTGAGTACATAGCCTCTTCATGAGTCATGTTCAAGAAAATGAAGGATTATAGTAATAGAGTTATCTGTGGGTGTTGAAAGAAAGGAAATGTGAACATTCCTGAGTCATTTATGGGTTTATGAGATGAATTAGTGGCTGAATGTTTAAAAAAATAAAAGCTGCACTAAACAGATGGCTCTTTTTAGGCTGCTCATTCGCCAGAACACTGGGAGTGCTAGGTGGTAAAGACCCGGTTGCCATTGAGGTTGAGTCTAGGTGGTAAAGACCCGGTTGCCATTGAGGTTGAGTCTGTAGGGTTCTGATTTTGCTGTAAAGACCTCAGAACCCATGAATGTAAACAATTTCCATCTTTTAAAAAAGGCCTGCTTATATCAAATAAAAATGATTCAAATTCTAGTTTTTCTGCATCTTTTAACAAATTAAAATTGTCTCTCGAGGCACATTGTCAAATATGAAATCATTATGTAAGTCTCAGTGTAGATGCCAGAAATGTTCTGCTTCGTTTTTAATACCCTCGCACTCATGAAGGAATGCTTCTGTGTTTGAACGTGTTTCAGAGGCAGCAGTTTAGTTTTTAGCCACGAGGCCTTAATACTTCTTAGCCCTCACCTGCACACCCTGACACAGACACACACTTACCGCTGCACACGCTCACTCTTGCACACGTGCTTGCATTAGTGCGTTACCTGGTAGAAAAGAGAATCCGCTTACAAGCAGATGATGGGAAACACCCTTCCAGGTGTCTTCGGGGCCCCATTACCTGCATTGCATCCTCAGTTACTTGTGGAGCATTTCTTTAGCTGTGGTTCTTGAGCTCAGTTTTTCTGAGGCAAGGCCACCAGGAGCCCTAACATGCTAACATCCACATTGGTAATATTCCTCCTGATCTAGTCACCCTCCAGGCAGAAATAAAAAGAGGAAAAGTACAGCTCTATGAGGCATTTGGGAGTTACCATTTTACAAGTGGCAATTTTATTTGCCCTCTATAAATGAGCCTCCCTTGTCAAACTGCATCAGACTTCATCCTCACCTGCAATCAGGAAATGACAAAAGTCAGGATGGGCACACCTGAGTTTCACTATCATGGCAAAGTGATAGTAACAGGATGTATAAATTGTTTTCTTTAGGAAAAAACATCTATAATTGCATTTCATCCTCATCTTTTCTCACACATTCTGTCACACCAGCATGACTTATTTTAAACAAAACAAAACTTTTTCTGACATCCACTGTCTACATACTATTGCGTCCATTTTAGAACATTTCTATTTCTAGCTCATGTTCAGGTGAGATAACAGATTCTAAGCAACTCTGAGAAAAATCTAATGACTTTGAGAGTCAATGTTTTTCCTTTAGGTATGGCAATGCCAGAGGAGGATAATTTTTCATTTCTGTGTATAGAAATTTCCTTTGAATTCAATGATCGTGGTCTTCTTGGGTTTTTAAAGTCCATTTTGATGTAACTATCACACTATACCTTTTTATCATAAAGTGTTCTAGCTCTTTCTTTGGTGTATGTCACGATTCTCTCCACCAGAACTCTCAGAGGCTGAACAGAGCAAGAGTGTTTTGGCCACTAGCTCCCAACACCCTCTCCAAGGCACCAGTGATCTGGATGCTTCTCAGTGCTGACTGAGTCACCGTTGGGACGCAGGAGGGCCAGGTGTGGAAGCTCACCGATCTCTGACTGTTTGTCTAGGAATGCAGATGTGGAGATGACCCTGGAGCGAGCGGTGAGCATGCTGGATGCCGACCACACGTCATTGCCCAGGGTGTCAGCTGCAGCCACCTTCATACAGCACGAGTGCTTCCAGAAATCCGAGGCACGGAAAAGGGTGCGTACCTCCCCCAAGCCCTGTGTACTACCCCACACTGTCCGCTTATGGTGAGCCTGCACACTCAAAGCAGTCATTTACACAAGGTTTTTTAAATCTTCATTTTTTTTTTTTTATTTAAAAGGAAATATGCATTCATGACACAAAAATCTTTCCTGCAACTCAGAAGCTTACAATGTTTATACACAAGCCTTCCTCTTGGCCTGTTTGTCCCTCCTCATCATTTAGAGCCCACCCCCAAGGCAGTGGTTTTCAACAGTCTGTGTGCTTTCAGATTTTTCAGTTAGCTTTAGGCCATTGTTTTCTATATTAAAAAAATGTGTTAAATATAAACAATGTTTTGCAACTTTTTTCATTAAACTGTTTAATGCTGCAATAATTGTTCGATGAATAGCTTTGTATGCAAGTCTTTAGACACTTCTACAAACTTTTCTACAAGACAGATCTCCACAAATGTAATCAGTAGGTCAGTGTATATTTGGTTTAAAAAGTTGGCTGAGCACAGTGGTGAACATCTGTCATCCTAGTTATGAGGGAAGCATAAATAACATTGAAATTCAGGCGGCTGTGCATAAAGTGAGACCCTGTTTCAAAAATAACCAGTGCAAAAAAGGGCTGGCGGAGTAGCTCAAGTACTAGAGTGCCTGTCTAGCAAGCATAAGGCCCTGAGTTCAAACCCCAGTACCACCAAAACAACTTTTTTAAAGTGCTACACTTAGGGCAAGGAGGAAATCACAGTTCAAAAAGTTACTCAGTACAAACTAAGTCTGTCCCACCCCATACTTCAGCCTACACTGACCCCTTCCCCACCATCGGTTTTTGGGGATCTTTCCAAAGACATTTTGTGCATGTAGAAACAATTGTTGGAAGGAGTTGGTTGAAAAAAACTTTTTTGTTTAAAACAAACTCACAAATGATAACATATTGCCTAAAGTATTTTTTTCATTTAACACTATATCTTAGTATCTAAAAAAACTTATAAAATCTTCAATATATACTAACCCTACCTCATTCTTTAAAACTACTGCATTGATTTCTGTTGTCTAAATGTATCAGTGTTATTGATTTTTTAACACCTGTATTGACATATGATTTGAAAAGGTTTTGAGATTTATTTTGACACTACAAAGATAAGTTGTCTTATATCCCTGAGTCCTACCCCTCTCACATAATTGTGCATCACAATCTACTATGCACATTTGTGTACACCTTTTCATGGAGACATGTGCTCTGATTTCTCTTTAGTAAATACCTAGGAGTGGAATGTCTGGGTGATATGATAGGTGTGTGCCTGACTTTTTAAGAAAGTGCTGAACCATTTTACAAAGTAGTTGTGCTGTCTTCCCTCCCACCAGCAGAATGTGAGAGTTCCAGTTCCTCCACATCTTAATCCTGACCTGTACACTTTCATCAGTCTTATTTCTTTGTGGTTTTAATCTGCATTTTCTTCATCGCGGATGGAGTTGAACATCTTTTCCATGTGATTATTTGCCATCTGTGTATCTTCTTTGATGAGATGTGTTTCTAAATTGTTTCATATTAAACTTTTGAACTCAGGGCCTTGTGCATGCTGGGCAAGCACTGTGCTACTGACCTATGTCCCCAGCCTCTCTTTACTGAATTTTGAGAGTTCTTGATATACAAGCTATTTTTTCAAATACATGAGTTAGAAATATTTTTCTTCCTGTAGTGCTTTGTCTTTCTTCAGTCTCTTTTCATTTTAATGGAGTTGGATTTAACAGTTCTTTCTTTATATGGTAATTCGTGTTTTTCATGACATAGCCAAGAAAATTTTCTCAACTCCAACATTAGAAGCTATTCTATATTTTCTTCTAGAACTTCATAAACGTTAGGTTTTATACTTGGCCCATGATCCGCTTGGTGTTCTTTTTTTTTTTTTTTTTTTTTTTTTTTTTACATATTATAAGATGTGAATTTAAGTTCCTTTTCTGGTTTTTATATATTAATTGCTCAGGTGTCATTTGTTAAGAGACTTTGTTTTCACTATTAAGTTGTCTTCGTACCTTTGCTGAAAAGAAAGATCACGTTGGAGTGTCTATTTTTTTTGTTAGATATTCTATTCCATTGATGTATTTTTCTACCTTTATGCAAATATTCCACTGTCTTCATAACTGTCATTTTATAATAAGTCTAAAAATCTGGTAATCCTACCTCTCCAACTTTGTTCTTATCAAAGTTGTTTTGACTAGTCTAGGTCTTTTGTAGTTCCAATCAAATTTTAGAACCAACTTGCCCTTTTTTTTTTTAATTTTTGTGTGTGTGTGTGAAACTGGGGTTTGAACACAGAGCTTTATGCTACCACTTGACTTCAGCCACACCTCCAGTCAATTTTGTTGGAGATGAGGTCTCTATACCAATTTGCTTAGGCTGGCCTCAAATCTCAATTTTCCCAATCTCATCTTCCCAAGTAGCTGGGATTATGGGCATGAGCCCCAAGCACCCAGCACCAGTTTTTTTAAAAAAGATAAAGAAGAGCTAGAGGTATGGCTCAAGTGGTAGAGCTACTGCTGTGTGAGCTCAAAGCCCTGAGTTCAAACCCAAATGCAACCAAAAAAAGGATAAAATAACTTAGCTGCACATAGTGACTTACACTGTAACTCTAGCTACTCTGGGGCAGAGATTGGGAGAATTGAGATTCCAGACCAGCTCTGGCAAAAAGTTTAGGAACCTGTATCTCAATCAATAAAAACTGAATGTGGCAGCACATTCAGCCCAACTATTTAGAATGCATAAATAGGAGGATCCCTGTCCAAGTCCAGGCATCAATGGGAGACCCTATCTGAAAAATACCTAAAGCAAAAAGCGCTGTGGGGCATGGCTCAAGTAATAGAGTACCTGCCTGGCAAGCACAAGGCTCTGAATTCAAACCCCAGTACCTCTCCCCACCCCAACCTACAAAAAAAAAAAAACCTGTAGGAATTTTGAGATTACATTGAATCTAAAGATAGGTATGGAGAGTTGATATCTTACTATTGAATCTTCTAACAAATGAACATGGTACCTCTCACCATTTATTTAGGTGTTCTTAATGTTTCTCAGAAGTGTTCTGCAGTTTTTATTCTTTCATATCTTCTGTCAGATTTACTCCTCAGTTTATCATATTCCCAATGCTTTTATTCACTGCAACTTGGTTGTTCATTTTTAGTATATAGAAATACAATTGAATTTTGTATATTAAGCTTGCATCCTATGGTATGACTAAATGCTAGTAGTATTTTTGGATATTTCACCAGATTTTCTACATAAAAGATCTTTACATATAGACAGTTTTATTTATTCATTCCCAACCTGGATGCCATGTATGTTTGTGTGTGTGTGTGTGTGTGTGTGTGTGTGTGAGAGAGAGAGAGAGAGAGAGAGAGAGAGAGAGAGAGAGATGGTCCGTAGTTATCTTGTAATGTCTGTCTGATTTTGGATTGAGGATTAGCCTCTAGAACGAATTATAAAGTATCCTGTCCTCTTCAATTTGCCAAAAGAGTTTGGTTAAAATTGGTATTATTTCTTCCTTAAATGTTGGTAGACTACACCAGTGAAGCCATTTGGAAGGATAATTACATGTACATTGGACTGCTTGAAGTTGTTCCACACTTCATTAATATCTATTCTTTTTCTTTTTTAGTCTTTTTCTGTTTCCCTCTAGTGGTTTTGTTTTTGTTGTTATCATTGTTGCTTGTTTGTTTGTTGAGACAGGGTCTTGCTATGTAGCCCAGGCTGGCATGGAACTTGTGATCCCTGACTCAGCCTCCTGGGTGCTGGCGTTACAGACTAGATGCTACTGTGCCTAGCTCTGTTTTTCCCTCTGGGTAAGTTCAATTATTGTTCAGTTACTTTCAGTTTGCTGATTCTTTTTCTACATTGTTTAATACACCATTATTTTCATTCACTGTATTTTTTATTTCATACATTGTAGTTTTCATTTCTAGAAATTACATTTGAATCTTTTTTTAAGTTTTCTATATCGTCCTCATCATGCTCATGTTCCATCCTTGGTTAAGGTTTTTGAGCATATGGAAGAGAGCTCAAATTTTGCTCCATTGATGTCCTTGTCTGCTAATTCTTCTGTGTCCATTCTGGGTGGGTTTTTATTAATTGGGTTTTCTCCACTTTATGGGTCATACTTTTCTTCTTCACTGCAAGCCTGGCAAATTTGTATTGAATGCCAAGCATTGTGAATTTTCCTCAGCATTTACTGAAGGTCAAGTAATTGGAAATACATATTTTGAAATTATTGTATGTTCGAGTAATGTATATTTTGTCTGTTTTTTTAATTGACCCCTTTTTACTATCAAATTATTGTTAATTTTGATAAATAACTTCCCAGTGAATACTCTCAAAATTAGTACACATTTACACTCCCACAAACATTGTGTCAAAGTGCTTATTTTCATGCCCCAATAACTATGACAAGATATTCATTCTTTTTTTTTTGTTTCATTAATCTGATAGGCAAAAAAGTGTTTTATTATAGAATAAATTTTCTGAAGTCAAGACTAATATTTAGTCAGCTTACTCAAACAGAATAATAGAGAAAAATCTTTTAACAATTATATATAAACACATTTTTATGGTTTGTCATTGTCTTTCATGTATAAACTCTTGTTGTAGTGTATAGTATAAATTTCTTTAAAATGGAAGGAGACTAAATGGCACTAACTCTTCCAAGTTCAAATCCATCTAGAGTTTCACATTTCCCATGATCTTTTATAATAATTTTATCCATAAAGAATTACAGAGCTATTTAAACCTCTCAACCTTTGCCTAGTATATTCAAAACATTCAAATTAGCTTTCAGAGAAACAGAGTTCCTTCCTTTATATTTCATACATGTATAAAATGGTAAATAAGTTACACAATTACACCAAGCACAGCTGACATAAATACTGTGGGAAACAAACCTAAGTAACTCTTGGTAGACAGGTAACTCAACCAGTAGAAACAGGAGGCAGAGACCACATAAAGTAACTACAGAAAACCAAACT